GGGTTTTAACTACATGCTCCTGGTAGTTTTCAGTTTAAAATGAAAAACGTTTCACTTGTGTGTTTGCACATATTTAAAGAGAAAACTTGAAAACTTCCACACTAGGTAACTTCCACAAAGCGTAAAAAACCCCACCAGTGTAAATGGAAATTGTGTCCAGCTCTACACATGGTTCAACCTCTCTCTTTGAATGCTTCTGAACTGTACTGCCTCCATCATCACGTCACCCTTTGGCGATGGGGATCTGGACTAATCTAGATGATGCAGTCGAAGTCAGACTGAAGAAACCTCTTTATTTTGAATGACTCTTTTGAAATTCAATGAATTTCAATTTCTTTCTTCCTTTTTTATTTATTCTTCTTTTTTTTTTCCTGATCCAGACAGTCACAGAGTTGAGACGGGGAAAATACAGCACACTGCCAAAATCACATAAATTTTAATGGCTTTCCTGTTCACTTAACCCCGCATCAACAGCATGACCTCGCTAGCGTGCACCATGAACCAGCAGGGTGTGGAGGCCAAGAGAAGGGTGGATCTGGCCTTGCTCCAGTGCCTGTTGCACAGAGGAAACCATGGGACATTTTGTGGGGTATTTTTGAAAACACTGGGTGTCTTTTTCAAGACACTCGTGCCCTAATTGATATGGAAGCTGTCAATAGATTCGGTGACAGGTCAGCACCCGCCTCCAGCAAGGCTATCACACAATCAGCACTTGGGCAGTGAATGTTACTCGAGCTTTATCTAAACTAATCATCTTCAACATACCTTAACATTTTTATAGCCTTCATTTCCAGGATATTTACGCACCTCTAAGTTGTTCTTGTCTTGCAAGGATGGAAGGAAATTCATGAATTGTGGAAGGCTGAAAGAAAAATGTTCTAGCATCACAACATGTAGAAGCATGCATCATTTTGCCCAGGAAGGACAAAAGCTGTGGTCTTCTTTGACCTGTTGTACAACACAGGCCACTTTTAACTTCCCCAAGTCAGTGCATTTTAACCAGAGAACATCTTTTAGAAAACTATTCCAGCTTGACTTTAACATTTCCACTGGTGTAGAAAGTGCCCAACCCTTGGACGTTTGCTCCAGAGCTTAATTATGCTCCCTGAGAAATAGGCTCACCTGATTTTCAATCTGAATTTGTCCCTATAAAACTTTCAAAGCCTGTTATTTGACTGACTGAAGAGCCTTCATTTTAAAAACTACATTCCCCATGGAGGCAATTAGTGTGGGATTATCTCATTCAACTTTAACCGTGCAAAAACGAAGCATCTTGTCTCACCCAGTGTTTGGGGATCTTTCTGTAATCGACTGACAGAAACAGGCACTTCCAGAAGTCACTTCATTGCAGCTATCTCCCTTTGGGATTAGATGCCTGCTGGAGATACCCAACTTCTGCACTGACTGAATGAGGGTGACAAAGTAGTGAGCCTAGACCATCTCCCTATCATTTAGAGGGGGAAAGTTGGGCAAAACAAATCCCATGAGTTTGGTCTGTAACCAGCTCACCTCATCAGTTTTCTGGGCAAAACACTGAATTCATTGAGCTCTTCATGATAAATCACCTCTTCCAGTTCCTTGCATGCTCTTGAGGGTCTTCTCCCAATGCTCCTCAGCTTATCAACATTGCTCTTGATCTGGGATTCAGAATAGGACCCTGTACCCCCAAAGGAGTGATACTGATGCCAGTATTAGTCACATATAAACCCACCCCACTCAGACCTGACATTCCCTACTACATATTCAATGAGGCACCATGCTGCACTGGAAGTTTTGTTTTGCTGGTTACCCACTCATAATGAGTTCTAAGTCTTTTAAAAAAGTCACATCTATTACAGGAAAGGTCCTGTAAGGCCAACTTTTGATGTTTCTAGACAGAAAACCTTAGAGTTTGGCCAAAACACCTAACTTCTTCCTTTTATCAGTAACACACTAACTGTATTATTGTCTGTTTTCCTAGTGTTTGTGTGGTTTCTAAGCATAATCTATAGTGACTTATTTTTTTCTTGCAGGACATGGTTAGAAATGCTAAACAGCTTTGGAACAGAACCACTGCTCAATGGATTTTACCCATTTACAATTACATATTGAGATGTAGCAATTAGCTGGTTTTTAAAATCCATTTGATGTTTGCTGCAATGATTTTGTAGCATTCTCCTTTCTTAATCAAAGTGTCAGGTGATACCAAGTCAAATGCCTTACAGAAATCTAAGTACATTAAATCAGTGCTATTACCTTTCTCAACCAAGCTTGTAATCTCATAAAAATTACATCAAGCCAGTTTGACAAGATCTATTTTCCATAAACCTATGTTGAAAGGCATTAATTATATTACCTTCCTTTAATTCCTTATTAATCAAGTCTCATATCAGCTGTTCCAGTATTTTGCCTAGAATCAGTGTCAGGTTGACAGGCCTATAATTACTCAAGTCATCTCGTTTAACCTTTCTAAATGTTGGCTCTATATAAGCTTTCTTCTAGCCTCCTGGAACTCCCTGGGGCATCAAGATTTGTTGAAAATCATCATTAATGGTTCAGCATGTTCCTTTGCTGGATCTTTTAAAATCCTTCATTGGTTTCTATAGCCTCTGCTATGACCATACTTCATTGTTGTAGAAAGGTTTGGAAGCTCTACTAGCTACTTACTACATCTTCCAGTACCCAAATAGCTATGCAAGTCTGGCTGGCAGTGAGTTGCTTAAAGCACTTTAATTGCCATTTCTTCACATGAAGAGTGTCTAAATTCATATGAACTCTTGCTGCATAGTCCTGCCTTGAATAAAACCCTTATGACCCCCCCTCAATCTCACAGATAGAGGCAATGACTTCCAAGGAGTGTCACGCATACCTAGCACTGTAGCACAAGCTTGGTCTTACACACACTGCAGCACCCAAACCCCTGTTATTCTGGACCTTTTACCCTTTGAAGGCTTGGAGGTTTCCCTCTGTATGCATCATGGCACAGCTGAGCCTATTCAGGCTACAGATGTACCCCGGCAATCTGACCAGTTCTATTAAGTTTGTAAATACACGACTCTGAGAATTTAATGAAAGAAATTACATGAAAGAAAAGAGACTGGCTTATGTATATATAAAGTATTATCCCAGAGAACAGCAAACATCAGGAAATAAAAGATGTTGCATGGTGCATTAGTTTTAATACTGAAATATTCCAAATATCCAGTTGTGGATACATTTCCAAAACACTGCAACTTACAAACGGGACACTGCAGCATTATCAGTAGTGGCTATTGAAGTATTCTGATAAAAGAATTGGTGTTTTGGTGTGACTCATGTATAAATACCATCATAGAAGTGCATCTTCTTGTCATTTTTAAATGCCCTTGTCTAAGTCCAGATTTTCTGCTATTGATTTGTTTTGCGGATGCCCAAGCAGACCATCTTCAGACAGACTGAAGAACAGGTATCCCTGTGTTCCCTTTCCTGATGAACTAGCAGCCTCTGCGTGGCAGGCAGAAGGGGTGTTTTTAATTGTAACTGTGCACGCCTAATTTAACTTTGCCGGTAATTGAGCTAAGTTGTGCAAGTAGTAAAATGCATGGGCAATTTTCCACATAAAGGTTTTCTCAGGTACTTGATGCTATCCGAATCCTCTGAGTGTTCATTCTACAGATGAAGCCCTCCAAGTTTTTGTTTCTGTTGGGTTTGGTATTTTGTTCGGGTATCCTTGAGATTAGTTAATGAATTAATTATTTTCTAAATTGTCCTGTGCCAAAGCAGCGTGTCGGCAGGAGGCATGAAGGTAGGCTTGTTTGAGAAGCCCACTGAAATAAGCAGTCAGTTCAGGTGTCTCTGTGTGTATAGAACCATAGAACCACAGACTGGTTTGGGTCGGAAAGGACCTTAAGATCGCTTAGTTTCATCCCCCTGCCATGGCAGGGACACCTTCCACTGGAGCAGCTTGCTCCGAGCCCCTGTGTCCAACCTGGCCTGGAACACTGCCAGGGATGGGGCAGCCACAGCTTCTCTGGGCACCCTGTGCCAGCACCTCAGCACCCTCACAGGGAAGAGCTTCTGCATTAGATCTAACCTGGACTTCCCCTGTTTGTATATGTTTGATTATACAAACATATATAGCTAGATAGAAATAGAAATATCTCTGCATATATGTGTGTGTGTAGAATATAGTAGTGTGTGTACAATATAGTAGTGTATGTAGAATACAGAACTAGTCTGTTGCTAGTATTAGTATTTGGTTAGAGATAAAGAAAATCACCCCAAATTTAGAAGGGTAGAACTACCACAAAAAATTAACACATTTTTCTTTAAACTGACGAGTTTAAATAATATTAAATCTTTCCAGGTGGAACATTTTTTTGCATTGTAAATGTGTGTTAAGTGAAAGAGAATGACACTAAAAGCCTTATACTGTTAGAGTCAAAAAAAAAAGAGGCATCCTCTTAATCTAGTGTCACAGATCCAGCTGCTTCACTGCAAAAGATGCAGCAGAAAGAATCATTATCAAGACTGGAAACAAAAATGCCTTGATGTATGGGCCTTCTTGCTTCTGTACTACAGGTTAGCTCACATGAAGACGAGCAGGAGTGGATTAATGAATAATCTACCTGGGATAAATCTGAGACTCCTACATAAACTAATGCAGTGAAATTAAAACTGGAAGTGCAAATGGCTTACTTATCACATATTTAACTTATGGAACAGTCACTGTTGAAGGATGTGATTGAGAAAAATAACCAAGGAGATGGCTAAAAAGGCACTAATGGCAGTAATAATGGCATGAGGTGAATTACCACTGGCAGTTACAGAAACTTATACAAATACCTCAATATTATAAATTAGGGAATTTTTCCTTGGTCTCTGTATTTGGCAGTTTACCTTTTTCCCAGGGCTGTTCGTAACATCATTGGAGTCAAAATATCTAACTAGATAAACTATGGACTCATCAAAATGATTTTCTATGAGATTAATTTCCACTGTTTGTCCATTTTTTTGCTAGAAGTATGGTGACTTCGCACATAATTGTTAGCCAAGATAAAGCTATGCAGTAATAACACTCCCCTTATTGAAAGAGCATTGTTAACAGCATTGGAGCAGTCAGCTCCAGGCAGCAGGTCATCCTGGGAAGCAGTTGGTACCTTGAGCTAAACCAGCCAGCACTCCAATGTTGGCACTTTCTCGTTTACAAACTGCATCAGTCACAAATGGAAGTTGCCTTTTCAAAAGCTTTTGGGTTTTTTTCAGCAATTCACACGTGTGGAATAACAGTCACAAATCATAAATGTCACACCTTTGTCGCCAGGATTGGAAGAAATCTGCAGGGTCCCTGTTTGCACGCAGCTCCCAGTAGTTGCACCTCCTGCGAGTCACATCAAAAACACTTGAAAAGAGTTTGATTTTGGCAGCTGCTGTGAAGGCAAAACTTCCTTTCAACTCTCGCCATCCCAGTTTGGGGAAGGCTCTGCTTCTTCTGCACAGAGGTCTTGGCTTCCATCCTCCTGCATCCCCATCTTTGAAACCTAACAGGTAAATGGAATGTTAGAGATCAGTGGGTGTTTTTTTCCAAGGCAAGCAGGTCCCTTTATTGATTTCCACTAACTGTTAGTACCTTGTGACATACGGACAAAGTTTGCCTTTTCCCACACATGCCTCGGAATAATGACATGTCAAATTAAAATGCATTTGCCTTTTGTCAAGTGTAACCATTTTTATATATATATATATACAAATTTAATGTGTTTTAGGGCTCAAGAGAAGAGCCATGTTGGCAGCCCAGGCAAGAGAAGTTTTCCTCAGCTCCACAAGCCCACTACATTCAGACTGTTCCAAGAGGAGCTCCTCCATGTGGTCCCATACCTGTCCCCAGCACAGTGGGGAGAGCAGGGACTCACAGACCACCACTGCAGACCAAATCATGCATGTCCTTCCTCTAAGTCTAGGACCGAGTCTGAAGAGCAAGGGGCTCAAGGAGCTGTGCAGAGCACCCTGCCACAGAGGATGGGTGTTGTCACCCACCAAGCATCCCTTCACTGAGATGCAGGCAGAAGGAGCTGGGTGAACTACAGTAGCCTTGATGGGAATCTCAAAGAAACCAGTGCTGGGGAAATGTCCCAAGACATGGGAGTTTCCCCACCCCCAAATCCCCACTTCTCTGCAGGTTGTATATTCCTCCTCCTAAAGCAAACAAAGCTCTAAAGGAAACAAATTGACCTCTGGTTTCCTCCTCTGCTATTTTCCTTCTGTCCTTCAGGCTGGCACTGCTCAGCCTTCACATTCAAGCAGTACGCGTCTCCTCTAGAGCACATTTAAGGAGCACAGACACGATCATTTAAGAGCACACTTTACTTATCTATCCTTAAGAACACAAAATAGACCCAGAAAAAAAAGTGTCTCTACGCTCATTAAAACGCTTTCAGCCCAGGGCAAGGATTTGATCAAAAGGATTCCTGCCAATGGAAGGGCAGGCTGGAGCCATTGTAAGAAGTTGTGTGCAGGTGTCTGCCTTCCTTTCCTTTTCTTTCTTGTGCCCTGTCCCTTCCACTGCCACCTCCAATCTCTTTTCTTCCAGCTGGGGGAACAGAAGAGATTTTACTTCCTTGATGACAATTGTGTCCTTTGAGCAGCCAAAGCAAAAGGCACTTTGAGTTCAAATGAGACTGTGACTTAAACCAATATTAGCCAAGACCAACACATGTTTATTGTAATATAAGTAATCTTCGTTCTGATCAGCAGGTTTTCCTCACCCCACTGCAGTTTTACTCATTGCCTCTTTCATTCTTCCAAAATGAATAAATGAAATGGCTGCCCATTTTTCTTCACAGCAGTGGGTTTCAGAACTTCAAATCAGAGAGGCGTTTTGATTTTAGAAATAAACTCCAGAGGAAACAGTTTCAACCAGAACTTTCATATACTTTTTTTTTACCAGTTTAAGGTAACATCAAAACTCACCTTTCCAAAAAAATGAAACCTCACAGCATTCTTTTAATCCAAATTAAATAAAGTGTCATCCCTGTGTCCTCTTCCTTCATATTTAGAGGGAAAGAAAACTATCCTGCCCATACTTTAATGGTTTTGTCTGCAAATCCTAAATGCTCCACTGCTGCAAATTTCAAATGATCTTATACAACCAAAGTCTCTTTGGTGTCAGCAGCCACCCAGGTAGCAACACAACCATGAGAATGCTGCTGATCAGAACAATGAATGCCTGATCTACAGATGTCATATCAAGGTAGAAATCTTGATGAGCATTGTAGTGACATTACAAAGTGGATTACACATGCTGTATCTGGGTCAGAGAAGGAGTTATTTCAGTACGGTCAACAAAGTACTTTTGACCAAACTTATTTTTCTACGTTATGAGAGATACGCTTTTGTTTGTTACTTCATGTTGCAACTAATAACAATATTCTCTCCATATTCATCACCAGTTTGCAAGCAAAGTTAAAAGGAAGGCAAAATACCCCCATGCCTGGGGTTATGCAATCTCAGAGGCAGGTCCCATCTCCCTGCCCTGCTTTCCTTTGTGACCAAGGAGCCCAGCACTGCCACCCAGTCTCCCATTTAAGTGTTTAATACCACTTCAGAGAAGTTTCTGAGACACTTCCTGAAGTGTACGGCCCTCAGGTTCTCCCTGCTTTATTCTCCAGCCACCAATATGATGCAATTAGGACTTTCTTGCTTTCTGGGTGTGTTGGATCTCAATGAAACAAATATCACAAGGTTATAAGGTCCTCAGATACTCCAGCCCAGGGGTAGTGCAAGTGCCTAAACATTAAATGTTGGATGTGTGAGTCTCTGTGTGCCAAAGATGTCACTGTATGGCACAAAACATGCCTCACCTTCAACCTTCTTTCCCAGGAATAGACAACAGGCCAAAGGCCTTATCTACATGGCAGACAGGAGATGAAGTTGTCCTATCCAGGGATTGCAGCATTTCAAACCTGTTGACTTACAGTACTGTGTGTAGGAGTTAGGGATACTTGTGAGACTTCTTCTGGCTGTACCAACTTCTTTTCTTGTCTTAATTTTGAATTTTTTGAATTTTTTTATTTTTTACAAGATTTAATGCAAACCAAATATAGTTCTTGACAGCTGGTATCCCGTGTTTCCAAAAGCAGGATGCTCCTGGGACGCTGACAGACACAAACAAAATAGGAAAGGCTGCCCATCCCTGCCAGCTGTGCTGGGGCTCCCAATGCCAGCAGCTGCATAGCATCCACCATGCACCCCAAGCCTCCTGGATCCCCAGCCCTCCTGCAGACAAGAGCCTGGATCTTGTGCCTAGCCACTGGTAAGGCTTGGGCAAGGTGAGCTGTGCACGCTAAAAACTTTATAACAAGGCTGTCAAAGAACGATATCCTTGTGTTGGAAAGAGACTCTACAGGGCATGCTGGAGCTCCCTTAGTCCTTACCCAAACCACAGGGTACAGATGTAACTTACAGACATACTAGAATCATAGAATCAACTGGGTGTGAAAAGTCCTTTAAGACCAAGTCCAACCATTCCCCAGCACTGTCAAGGCCACCACTACCCCATGGCAGGGACGGTGACTGCAGCCCTGCCCTGGGCAGCCTGTTCCAATGCCTGAGCACCCTCTGGGGAAGGAATTGTTCCTCAGCTCCATCTAAACCTGCCCTGGGGCAGCTTGAGGCCCTTTCCTCTTGTCCCATCCCTTGTTCCCTGGGAGCAGAGCCCAGCCCCTCCTGGCTCCATCCTCCTGTCAGGCACTTGTAGGCAGCGATCAGGTGTCCCCCCCCCAGCCTTCTCTTCTCCAGACTGAACCCCCCAGGTCCCTCAGCCGTTCCCCATCACACTTGTGCTCTGGGCGCTGCACCAGCTCCGTTGCCCTTCTCTGGCCCCACTCCAGCACCTCAATGTCCCTCTTGGAGTGAGGGGCCCAGAGCTGAACACAGGATTCAAGGTGCAGCCTCACCAGTGCCCAGTGCAGGGAGACAATCACTTCCCTAAATCCTAGGAATCACATCAGATAATCTAATAGCTAATTTTTCACCATTAAGGGCCTTGAAACTTACTCCCAGTTTCAAACCCTGGGAGAAAGCTAGTTTCATGCTCAAATACTACTTTTAGTGAGCTCAGATGTATTTACTTTCATACAGGTTATCTGCACCTCACTAGCTAGCCTAAAACAGCAGAGGCTTAAACTGAAGCATTGATAGCAGCTCTGAATACCTTAAACCTAAAAGTAGATATATGTGCTTATGTATCTATCAATACTGAGAAAAAGTGTTTTGCTTATCCAACCTGATTATTGACCTAATCCAGTTGTGTTCTTTCTGCTTATTTACTGGGGGGGGGGGGGGGGAATACAGGGTTACTTCTACTCACTTGAAGCGCTGGGAATCCTGACACCACAAATCTGCACATTTCTGTAAGGGTGAAAAATGGAAACCAGATCCATAACTGAAAGCTGTAATGATCAAAATCAACCTTTCCTGAGAAATGCAGCATGAAAAAATAAATCAGCAAGTTAAGAAAAACTGTTCAAGAGCTTAAATAATTGAAAGCACAATTGTTTCTTTTGCCAGTTGCTATCATACGTATCAAAACCTGTGTAATCCTATAGTGGTAGTAAGAAGCCTACACTATGTTTATTTCTTGGTGATGATGACGGTATACGTTATTCCAGAGCAGTGGTGCATGTATCAGAAGCACCTGACTTGCAAGGGTATGATCCAACACCCAAGGAGCACAACCTAGATTATCCCATTGACTTCTATAGGCATTCCTCCAAGATAATACCCTCCTGCTGCTCCATTGCTTTCTTTAATGGATAATTCTGAGCTCACATCTGTGTTTTAGAACGTTGCTGGTGGTACTTAAAGAATGAGTTTATTTGCTTTTATTACTGTGTATGGTTCATATTCTACGAATATGCCACAATCCAAAGTTTAAGTTTGATGTTAAATAATCAACCTATTTAAGAAGAGAAACTAAAGCCATGTTCTAATAAAGCTTTGCCACATATATAAATAATGGGCACAATGTTTCCCTTAGGAAGATAAGCTGTCTTCAAAGCAATTCCATGTTTAAGGCTTTAGATTTTGCCAGCACTTGCACAAGGTTGCAACAAACCTTGACTTATTTACAGAGAGATGTTAAGTGGAGATAAAGCCACTTAATAATCCACCAGTTCTTGCTAAATACATTTTTCTTCCATGCCCTTTCTGAAAGCAGGCAGGAATGCACACTATCCTTAGTTTACTTGAGCTAAATCTTTTACAGAATGGTTCAATTAATGATGCTTATGGGCTGTCTGAACAAAGTAATCCTGAAAGTATTTAGGGTTAAAAACAACCCCCAAAAAAATCTCTTAGGCATTTCTTTGAAAATAATGATGCAGTAACAACAGCAAAAGGGAACACCAACAGCACAAACAGAGCAAAGATCTGTTTTGCTATGGTTTGGTGCCTCATTCAAGAGCTCAATTCATTCAGGACCAGGTGCCCTCTGCGACAGAAACTTCTGATTTCTTGAGCTTGTGTCAGATTTGCAGCAGCA